TTGCATAGTATGATCCAAAAGAGTAAGATACTTTGCTCTCCAAGAAAAAAACGAAAGCCTTCACCCTCAGGTGTTTGCTTCTGTGGTGTTCTGGTTATCTCTAGTTATAGTGTATTTAAATAAATATTTTTAGAGCTAACGCAAACCCACCTGTTACATAAACCAAATCCTTACTGGTATTTTATCCCCATACACTGATGGTACGTACATGGTATGCACAGAGTATCCCTCGTTAAGTGGCACATTATAAAATCGGTAAGCAACCCGTTCAGCAGTAACTGTCAGAATAAAGTGGGATTACTGATTTTATTTTCTTACATGGAGATTCTAGGTATGAAATTGTTGGCTGCTATTGATTTTCTACACTGTAGCTCCTGCTTTCCCACAGGCCAGTAAATGACAGAGCTGCCACTTCTTTACTCTGTGGAAGGATGCCCCCAGTAGGAAAAAATTCAACTCTCAGTTACAGCTTTGCAAACCTGGAATGGGTACCACTGGTCAGCAAAGCGATGCTGGCACCTGTATTCCCTCCATACAGCTTGCTGAACTGATTTTTTGATCAAAGCTGCTGAGTGATTTCAGTAGGTTTGTACAGAAGAATGACTCTTTTAAGAACAGCTGAATGAAGTTTTATATAATAAACTGTTCCCGCTCCCCTCATTTTTCATCTAGTGAAAATTTTGTATTTCATCAACCTTCACTTAAGACTGTATTTATTTTCTGCTATCTTCTAGTGATAAATCGAGCAATTTAAGAGACCCCGAAGGGTTTTTCCATGACAACTTCTGTAGTAAATACACATTTTCTTAATGCAAAATCATATTAATTTGTTTGATGGTAATAGAGATAATTGTCACTAATTAACCTCGACATGGTTTTCCCAGATAAACATCTTAAAACATAGATAAACAAAATGTCTTAAAGTGAAATCTGTTTCAAATGCTTAGCTAGAGTACACACTAAATATGATAATATGTATGGGTTTTTTTGTTCTAAACCATCCACTATTTTACCCAAGTGGAAAAAAAACCCTGCAAATCACTCTAATATGATTCTCTGTCTCCTGTCCTTAACCTGCATACAATTGATTCCTGAGCACTGTCAGTCATAACTTTACTGAAAAAGCCCAGACAGTGTTTTTAAATGGATTTTGAGTTTAAACTGGAAGAGAACAAGGGAACATCTAGAAGATGTCAAGCAGAAATAAGCATTAGAGCACTGTGGTTTTGTTACAGCAAATCACTTCCACAAGCCAGATCGTTCTTTCCCATGTGCTGGGAGAAAGGGGGATACTCACCAAAGACAGTCCTAGCAGGGACAGATTCTCTGTTTAGCCAAAACGACACTTGTGATAAAATCACAGTCATGATGCAAGGAAGGTATGTCTGGATGACAAAATAACCAATTTTTCTTTTCAGATGAAAGTGGGCTGTCATAATAGTATATTCGCCTAGAAGGAGAAAAATCATAGACACATAGATGTGCGTGTGGGTAAAATAAGGGAGACTTACTGATTTAGGGACTTAAGCAGGCCAGCTCCACCCCGACTCCCCCACTTGAGGATACCAGTCAGCCGCTCCTAATTGCATGAAATATGTCTGGATTTCTGTGCTATAGAAAACCAGGACTTGAGACAGAGGTGCTGCTAGATCCTGCTGGTCTTCACATTCAGACCCCAAAAGCAGAAGACAACGACTGACAGATCCTACTGCACTGACTGGCTGTGGCCCTTCTATGCACCTGGGACGTCTGGAGGTTCACAGGCTTAAAAAATCCGGCACTGCCTCAGTCCTGCCTGGTTTTGACTCAGTCCTGCAAACTGTCTTACCAGAGTAACGATTAAGGCCATCTACTCTAAGAAACCTGATTTAGCAGCAGGACTTAACCTCATTAGGGCAACTGTTACTGCCAAGCCATCAGTTTTCCAGAATGAGAACTCCCTCTGCACCGCACTTTAGGGCCTGCCTGACCCAGTGTTGGTGTTGCCAAAAATGCAGCTTTGCACATGGGTCCTGGGAGGTCTTGTTGATCTCAGTACCCAAACCCATCAGATTGCTCCTCCAGAAAACAAAATCCCTCCAGTGCATCCAGTTTTCCTAGAATTTGGTACACTTTAGCCCTTGGAAAGAGAATGTTCCTGGATAGACGTTGTGCCAAGTCTTGTTCATTTGTGCAATGAATATTGTATTGCCTGCATGGAGAATTCACTGAAAACCGCCACAGCAGTGATGAATTCCGTGCCTTTTTTATACGCCAAATTCATAGCATTGCTTTAATCTGGCTTTTGTCAGGTCCTCTGAATTTCAATAAAAGCCTAAAAAAAATGCACTCCAAAATCGACAGACCAGCTGTCACCTTCCCTAATGTTTCAGAAAAAAATCAAAACTTAACTGGTTCTTTCAGGCTGTTCCTGTAAAACCATATAGTTGTTACTGAAGGCTATTCATTGATGGTAACTGCTCCCCAGAGCCAAAATCTTGCTAGCTAAAAACAGACTAGTTTGCCTAGGAAAAATAAGAGTAAAAACAAAATGTAAGAATATAAAACAACCAACCCCTTCAAGCCCAAACATATCTCCACTCACACTGATACCAAATTAATTTAAAAGCATGCATCATTCAGCTGGGTAGTGATAAATCAGAGTAATGCCTGTTCTGAAAGATATCTTGTCCTCCAAGTATAAAACAAATACAGCTATAATCTCTGTTGCAAGACTTGACTGTTAGTCTCTGTAGACCAGCCACAAAAGGAAAATATATAACAGACTGTTTCTGCCTTGAGTGAATAGCTCAGGTTGAGCTGCAGCCAGCATTGCTAAGCAGTTCGATTCAGCAGATTATTTCGAAGTGACAATATGGCTAATTAGTGGAGAACAGGTCTACAGTGAAAGGGCTTTTGCAGGTATAGCTGCAGTGATATGTTATGCTAGAGGAGCTCCGTTATTCTGGATGAAGTTTACAGACCTTGTTTGTGCTGAGGATTTTAGACAGAAAGACTGGAATAGCACAGAAATACCTTAGCTGACAGCCTGCCTCAATCTTTATGACTTTCTTCTGGAGTCTGATTTTCTGGTGAAATGGTTCCCTAAAGAGAGATGTGGAGATGGACAGGGAATGCTGTGAAACTGGGGAGAAAGTCCCTGTGAAGCGATGTCTAATTCCCTTCCATTTAGTGTAATTTTGAACCAGGGATGCTGAACATGCTGTGGTCTCAGGAGGAACCCCACTTGCTGTTTATTTAGGAGCATTCAGTTTGTGGATTACCCCTAATATATGCCAGGAGCAGCAGGGTCTATGTGCCTGTAATCTGTTTCTCAGTTGCTACTGCACTGGGCTGCGTTTGAGTCACAGTTTCCCTGCTTGCTAAGGAGTGACGATGTGCATTATTGATTTTGACAGTATGCTTTCGGAGCCAGAATAAAAAAAAATCTACACAGCTTCAGCAGAGCAACAGGACCCCTGTTTTTCCTTTCTAAAATGCAGAAAATGAAAGTTTACATGTTGATGGCCCTCCACAGCTGATTTTTACCTTATTTTCTTTAGCCTATCAAAGCTGTTGTCTGCACTGAAATAATGATATCACCTTGATTTTGTACTTGCTCTTTTTCCAACTGGTGTCTTCCCGAATTTCCCATGCCGTCCCTTTCAAAAATGCCAACGCTAGGGATGCTTCCTCCAGCAGATTTAGGGCTTAAGAAAACCCCACAGCTTGTTTTTTAATGCCCTGGGACCACTGCTTAAAGTAAAGCTAAAAGCTGCCCCAGTTGGCCTTTTGTTTATATAGAACAAAATCCTGGCTCTGTTGGAGGGGCAGAGCTCCCTTTTACTTCTGTAAGGCCACTGTTCATCCGTAGACCATAAGCTTTCTTGAGCAAGAGCTAATTTTTGTTATAGGTTTATGTAGCACTTAAAAGGGAATCCTGTTCCTGATGGGGTCCACTCATCACTGCACAAAACAATTTTAATAACAAATTTAGCACTAATGAAAAGCCCTAGAGCAGGAACGGCTGCATTTCTTCACAGAGCTACACTACTCTGCTGCTGCTGGTCTTAAGAAGTTTTTTTTATGCTTTAAAAGCTGCTGCAGTATTTTTTTGGTATCTAGATGATGGAGTTCTGGAGATCATGCTGATAAACTTTCCAGGATCTTACATGCATTCTTCCATCACAATTATGCTGGGATTCGATAGAATATTTTAATGAGGATGGACCGGCCCCCAAGCTTGTTTGTTTACTGGATATACCTGGACTTAGGTGTAGCAACAGCTGTTCCGGTAAGATCCTGACATTAGGTCTGTGATGCCACATCCCTGATCACACTGACATCCAGAATATTTTGGCCCACGAGAAATGCCTGTGTCCTTTTTATAGTGATGCAGGGGAAAGATTCATCTCAGGGAAAAAATCAGAATTATTTGGTGCAAAATGAAGAGTCGAATGCTTCTTTTATTATCTAGGCTTTGGATATTTCAGAGCTCAGGCTCCAGCTGGCAGAAGATAAAAGAGTGGGTTTTTGTTTTGTTTTGTGGCACTGCAGATCCCAAGTTAGCGATGAGAGATTCTGGGTATGGGGAACAGAACTGGGCAACCATTTGCGGAAAGCAGCAAGATCCACTTGGACCCAAATCCCTTATTTAATTGTTTTCGGCACTTGCACCACCAGGACATAACAGATGTTGGGCCTGTTGGAAGTGCTCTGAGTAGTCAAATGTCTTCTCTTTTGGGTGAACGATATTTGGGGTTGTTAGCACAAAAAAAAACCAAAACCCAAAAACCAAACAGGTGGCACATGTCAGAGCTATTTTCTGTGGCACGGTTAAAAAGTTCCAGATTTCAAAACTGGTTGGTAAATTAGGAGCGCCAGGACATCTTTCCTGAGAAGACAGCTAAACTTAGTGGCTTGCCTACAAAATCAACAGAATCCCAAGGGATTGGTGCAGGTCCAGCATTTCCATTTAAAAAAAGGCCTGCTGGCAAGGAGAGCATAAATGTCCTATGACATACTCAAACACTTTGCCTATGCAACTGCAAGGGCTGTGTAGTTTGACTTGTGTGTCAAAAAAACCCACAAAAGATCCAAGCACTTGGATTTGTGCAATAGCTATTTGCTTTTTCTCTTTCACGTTCAACAATTCAATAGAAGGAAGAAATGCCTTAGACGGCCGTTCATAAGTAACCCTGATTACTGGCCTCCTACGAGCTTGATGAAGTCCAGAAAATCCATTGCTGACTGATGCTTTCCCTGTGCAAAATCGGATTTTTGTATTTTGCTAATCCCCGGTTACAATCTGTGTCCTGCTCTCTGTGATCCACCCTGCAATCAGAATCCAGCCAGCCCAGATGTAACCCGGGACATTAATATAAAATCTTGACGTTGGAAAGCAAGCATTTATTAGCCTGAATCTTAAGATACAGGAGGGAGGTGGTTACTGGGCAGAAACTTTGGGATTTGTCTGAAGAGTCCCCTGCTTCCCTTGGCTGAGGAGTACAAGGAGCTTTCACAGGCAAAGCTGCAAACTGGAAGCATCCCGGAGCTGACACGCTGGAGCACTCACTGCCTGGGTTGGATGGTTTTCTCGCTCTGAGGAGCAGGACGAGCTCGTAGGAGATGTCCCAGTACATCCTCTGGATCTTTTTCTTGGCAGCGATGAAGGCGAGAGGGGAGCTGCCGTTCATTGCGGAAAACAACGCGGCTATGATGGTAAACTGGTAAGGAAAAAACGCGTCTTTGCTCTGTAATGGGAGATAGCGTACCTGTCCTCTTCCTGCAGCGGTGGCTGCTCTGACTCTGTCTATATGCTTCTCTTGACTTTAGATACCTTTGCTTTAGCAACAGCTTTGTGCCTCCTGAAATGGGCAAAGGAGGGGGTGAAGCTTTATAGGACGGAGACGGTGGTTGTGTTTTGTGGCTTCCCTGTACTTTCCCTCACTCTGTCTCCTGTTTGGAGAGCAGGGGGCAAGCTCAGCTGCCCCCCTCTTTATTTGCCATGTTTGGACCATTGGAGCAGAAAGCTTTACGCACCTTCGTGTTTCCGTCAAACTAACTTTGTGTGTGAGTGGACGTGCACCTGTTTTCACATCTCCTAAATTTCCTGCGGATAGTAACAGGCTCCTACCTCCTCCCCTACAACCCCTGCCTTCGGCTCAGAGCCTGTCATTTTCTACCAGGGACACGGGGCATCACCAGAAGACTCTGTCCCGCTTTGCCAGCGGGAATTGCTCCCCGCCGCGTTGCTGCAGGCTGCCCCCCTTTTCCCTCCCCAAACCCCACGCAACCAGCGGCGGTGGAAATGCCCCTTATCCCCTTTCCCTTCACGGCAGGCTATGTCGTTCCCAGGCTGAGGAGCCCCCACGTCGGATGCCACTAATGCTCTCCAGGCGACCGCATTGTATAACCTGGTTAAGCCCCCGTCCTGCTGAGCCCACGTGAGCCCTGTCCCGGCCTCGACCCCCCCTCCCGCGAGTCTCCCCACCAATGCGCGCCCAGGGCTGCCCTTGCGTGGGAGCCTTAAGAAGCAGGGGGGCACGGCTCACGTGGGTGCCCGGCCTGCGATTAAAGCTTCTTTGCCTCCCTAATGCTGCCACATCTGGCGCCTCCGCTTGCAGCCCGGGAGGAAATGGGAATCCTCGGGGGTTTGCACCTCCTCTCCGGCCACGTGGTGTGTGTGTCCCCCGGACACGCTGCCGAGACACACCACGCCACGGCCACAGCCACGGCCACGGCCCCACCTCCCCCCCTCCCTCCCCTCCGCGCGGTTTCATCAAGCAAATTGTTTTAAAGCGATGATTGAAACGGATCAAAGGCGTGGGTGGTGTTTGCCTCCCGGGGTAGTTCCTCCCACGGGGAAATAAGCCCGCAACAGCGCGGGCAGCCTCAGCAGAGGCGGTCACCGAGAAGCCGCGTGCAGCTCCTCCAGCGTTCCCGTTAAATAGCAAGGGCTGGGGTGCATCTTCAGCAACAGCCTCGCGGCAGACCTAAGAGCCATCATATAACCCTCGCAGCATTTTCAGTGACTCTGCCGAGTAGCCAGGAACCTGCACAGTATCTCCCCAGCACCCCACATCCCACAGATGATTCCCTGGCTTCCTTGCAAAATAACTGGAGCTGGTGGATCTCCCCTCCTGCTCCAGCTATCAGCAACCATAGGGTGGAAATATTCTCCCTACCTGTACTGGTACTGATGTTTTCAGTTCCTACAGTTTGTCCCATCAGGTGGTACTGGTTAAGTCGGGAACCATCTTCAGCCACCACTACAGATGTTGTGGTGCTATTAGTCCACACATAGATCACTTCAGAATTGGGGTAAGCATCTGTCAACAAGAAGGGAAAAAAAGACGGTGATGAGTAAAAAACACTGTGCAATATTTTAGTGGATCCTTAAATGATAAATGGTGGGGAAAGGGAAGAATGGAGGAGCGAGAGTGAATGGAGAAAAACAAATAAAGATGATATAATCGTGTTCCCATATGCCCAGCTCAAAAAAATATTAGGTGGAAGCCTTCTAATGTAACAGATGTGTGGGATGGTTTGTCAAAGCCTGGAACAGTGGAGGTATAAATATAATCCATTGCAACCACTCAATTTGGGAAAGAGCATCTCAGACCCATACTCACCTATCCGGCAGCTCCTAAACCCCAGCAAGCTGCAAAAGGCATTTTTGCTGATTTCCCCCCTCATAAGGACTCAGGCACCTCAAGTGCCTGAACAACAGGGATTTTCTCTGTCTTGTCCTGTCTCCACGATAAAATACCAAGTGATGCCACGTGCAAGCACAGGGTCTGAGGTGTGTGTGCTGACTTTGGGATATATACGTGCGGATGAGAGGGTCGGTCTTGCGTGCAGGGGACGGCTGTAGGTAAAGGAAGCTGGGATGTGAGTGCCGGTGCCTGTGATGCTGAGGAGTGGAGACGGGATTCAGGGGCGAGCCTGTAGGAAGGAGAGCGGGAGTGTGTGTACCAGAGCGAACGGGTGGTGGTGTGGAAACACCTGCACACCCGGGGATGCAAATGTGATAAGATTTCTCTCACAGTCATTTAGAACTCCTAGGATACAAAGGTGGTGGCAGTACTGCCAACTCATTCCTTCCTCTATAAATGTTGCTGTTATTTTTAAAGCCCTAACACCTGGAGTAATTATGCTAGAATGAGGGAATCTCAGTTTTCTTTTAGAAAGACAGTCAATGTTGGTTTTATTTTTAAGCCTTCTCTGCACACAAAGTTTCAAAAAATCCAGGAGCTGACCATACATTTAAATATATGTTTATTTAACACAAGCAGATCTCACACTTTTTAGGGCACCCTGATCTTTCAGGTAACTTTACTTTCAGGTAACACTACTGCAGGCATGTTACAGTAGGCCTGAGTCCATTGTACTAAAATCTCTGGAAAGCAGGCAAGGCCTGCTTTCCAAATAGGAGGTGAAATGCAGAGAGAGTTGGAAGCGCTCTGCAGTCAAATGCTAATATCTCACCTTCTGCACTTTTTAAGTTGGGGGTGCAGAAAGTTTCCTTCTGGAAAAACTCACATCCTAGTCCAGCGCAATCTGTGCAGGAGGCAACACACAGTGGCTTTCCAGGCAAGGACTTGAGAATCAAGGGCAAGAGGTTAGCTTGCAGGATCGTGTACACCGGCTCCATCAGACTGCGGGTTTTGTTTTCTAGAGGTAGTCTTTCCAAGCTGTCTTGGAAAGTTTCAGCTCTATGGAGGACTTAAAAATTTTCACAGACAGCTGGTCGATGTGGGCTGAGGCACTGCAATGGCAAGAAATGGTGGTCCCTAGATCCATACAACCAGTAACGTCAAGCAGAAAACAGGAAGTGATCCTGGTTCAGGTTAAGAGCATATGAGCATAGCACAATGGAACACTTGGATGCCGGAGCAGTTAGTAGGGAAGAAAGCTGCACCTTGTTTTCACTGTTGTTAGTCTTCCTGTCGCACCTGTGGGAAGTGCTGCCAGAGGCAGGACACTTGGCTAGATACACCTTTGGTCTGAGCGTTTATGGCTATTCGTACGTTGTTGTCCACACCTCAGAAAAGATAGAGAAATAATGAGGACAAAGAGGTGAAGAGAGTTCAAAAGAGGGTCACAAGTATCTCCAGGGAGTGGAAAATAAGTCAGTCATGAGTTGAAGCTTAAGGAGCTTGACTTACTTAGCTCACTGACAAGAAGCTGAGACATGACTCAAGCACTGAGTATAGATACTTGCATACAGAAAAGATATGTAAAACCAGGGTGCATCTCGTGTACAAAAGGAAAAGAAACATTCAATGCCTGAAAGATGGTTTCAGGCAGAGTCAGATGAAGAACAGGACACAATTTCCTAACTGGGGGGTTAATTAAACAGTGGATAACCTTCTGAGAGAAATATTATGGACTACCGTCACTAGAAAGAAAATGATGGGATGAGATCTTTCTTGTAACATATCTGACAGTTGTTGCTGCTGTATTCAGGGCTGAAACTGATCCAGGCTTTGGAGGTTGAAGATCTACAAATCCTCCAGCCCTTGTTAGCCATGCAGCCATGCAGGGCTGCCCACACCCCTTCCATGTGCTTGTATTTGTAGCTGGGCAGTAAAGTTACTGTAATTACATCTCGTGATCTGCTTTGAAATAATTTCTTCCCTATTTAAAAATATTTGCATTACAAAAAGTGATGGAATGTCACTTTCCCTTTAGAGCTGAGGTACCGTCTCATCTCAGAGACGATTACAAGTTCACAACATGTTGTAAATAATTCCAAAGCTAGATCTGGAGAAGGCAAGTAGGAGCAGATGGGTCCATTGAAAAAGGTGCTGCAGAAAGCCGCCCTTTTTAAATGCTTATCTGGTATATGTTGTTCATGTGGTGATATCCCCAGTGAATGCTGGGTTTATGTAGGCAGATTTGGGATTGTCAGAGAATTTGATTTTTACTTATGGTACTTTCTATGCAAAAAAAAAAAAAAAGCACTGGACTTCTTGCTGCAGTGATCCAGATGTATCCCACCTCATCAGTTCCCTGTTCCTGCAAGGATCCCAGGCACTGGGATAATTGGGTTTATACTGTTTCCTGACAACGACACACAATAATTCGGCCTGGCTAGACACTTCCTGGCGAGAACACTGTAACCAAATTCCACTGAAATTGCGACTACACAGGAACATAGGCCTGTAAGGCTTAACAAGTATTCAGATGCTTTAATGCTCTGCTCTCCCTAGCCTTGAGGGTCCTAAAATAAATCAGTGCTTCTGTTTTGAACTGCAGCCTTTGCTAGGTACTTAAATACATGCACCTGTACTGGGTTAGAGGCTCCTACTCTGGTGAAGCCCAGCACTTCCTTCTGTAAAAAAATATCTGTTATTCAGACAAAGGCCAGAAGGTGCCAAAACTCCACCCAGATCTCGCAGGTATGCCCAAGCAATACTTTGTGAGGTTGCTTTCTTTCCAAACCATGGCAGGGAAGGGAAGCTGCCCATTCCAGACCAGCTGGTGAGAACACTCAGGCACTCAAGAGCAGAGCTTGAGGCCAGTCCCTGCCTGGGAGGAGGACCCCAGGGGAAAACATCTATTGCAAGGCTACCAGGCAGATAGCTGTGCCACTGCTTGGCCAGTATCTAAGGGAGATCAGCCCAGGTAGAAGAGGTTCTGGTGCAGGAGCAGGATGGTTATAGACATCCTGGCTTAGACATCCTGGTTATAGATATATGGCTTTAAAACACAGTAGGGTGACAGATGTGTCCCTGTGGAGTTCACCCCAAACCGATGCAGCCTGCAGGGATGTCTCCACCTCCAAAGAAGTCTGTCGCATTAGGAATAATATGAATTTACCCCAGTCTAGAGTTAATCTATTGTGCAGGATCACATATATGATATGATTCTCATCTGTCTTCCATGCAGACATAAGAAAACATGGTCTGTATTTTAAAAAGCTGTAATATAAGATTTTTGGCTTCATGCCTGCTTTCCTCACTATGGGCCAGGCTCTCAGCATCTAAGCCTCCCTGGGAGAAAAAGAATGGAGAAAATGTCAAAACATGAATGTGAATGTAAAAAGATACAGTCACCCCCTCAGTCTATGAGTATCCTCGAGAGAAGCTCACAGCTCTGACAGGAAAAGGCCACCCCATCCACCGTGGTGTGGCAGCGGAACCACTGACCATCTCTTTTCTGGTCATCTAGATAAACCTCCAGGTAGATAAACCTGTGTACTTGTAGCAGGTAGTTGTCTTCCTACCTCAAACCTTCTGCCACGTCTTTCCAGAAACCTCAAACTCCAATTAGCTCAAATTTGACTACCAAAAAGCTCCATCTCTGCTGCTGATAACCCATGCAGTATAATTAGGCACAGTCATATTGAAAGCTGAAAGTGTGGGAGTTGTCTAGAATAATGCTATTTTGCTATCAGGATAGAGCGGGTGTTAATGGAAAGATGGTATTATTCACTGTCATACCAAATTGTGTATAAACCTTCCTCCACTTAAGTAACGCTTCCAGTAGGTTGCCCACCAGCCATGCTTGCCGAAGGACTGAAGAACTTCTGCTCATGCTTTCTAGAGTTATAAGAAAGGTTTACTGCTGACAAGGGAATAAGACCCTCCCCTCCTCTCCCTGGTACACACAGGAGGGACAAGGAGTCAGTCTCCCAAAGGGTGATAGAAAAATGTAGCAGAGGCTTTGGGTTAGCAAGCTGGGAGAATGCTGCTGGTGCTGCTGTAAAAGCAAACTCAAATTCAAAGCCACTGAAAATCCAAGTGAGACTGCCTGGTGTTTATTCTACTTTAAGCAAGTGGGTTTCTTCTGGTTTTATGAATCCAAATAATTAATTCTGTGTTCTTTACAATAATTTTGCTGGCTTGCCAAAGAAAGGGGGAAGCCTCGTTAAATCATTCTTTCTCTTCTAAGCTCACTCTTTCAAAAAGGAAAAAAAAAGTAGCAGTTGAGATGAACAGCTAAAATTACAGAGAGGTATAATGTTATTAAAAGTGAGGAAATGACAACAGACTTTTTTTTTTTTTTCTGGTAGACATTTGATAAATGGCTGCAGGCTTATCACCAACCAGAATGATGAAATAAGTAATTTCTTCCCCTATCTGTTTATTGATGAGCAGATCCATTTTTCTTCATTCGAACATCCAACACACACCACTCAATATAAAAATGGTAAAGATCTCCCTTGCTCTTCTCCCAACCTCTTCCTGCTCTCCTATGCCTGGCAAGCAAAGCATGACATGGTCTTTCTTACGCCAGTGAACAGAGGGCAGAAGAACAACCACAGCCCAAGGGAGGAAATACATTAAGACAAAGTCTGACAGAGCAGAGCAGGCAGTTGGTA